CCACACACCCCACACACACACCACACACTCCACACACACCACACACATCTCACACACCCCACACACACACCACACACTCCATACGTCACACCCCCAGCTTGGCCCGGGGACATCCCCACTCTCCTGCCTTCTGAAGCTGCCCCCTGGCGGGACTTTCTGTGCCTCAGTTTCCTCAGCAACGGCTCCATAACAGCTCTACCTCCCTGCATTGCTGGGAGCGTTTATGGACAGTGGACAGAGCCCTGAGGCCGTGCTCCGCTCAGAACCGGCCATGGCCTCACTGCGGCGGCTGTGGGCCTCGCCCCAGCTTCACTGGGTGCAGGGCCCAGCGGAAGGCTTCTGGCCCACAGGCCTCCATGCACCTCCCTCCCTGCACTCACAGGGACACGGGGCTCAGCGTGGCAGCGCTGCTGGAGGGGAGTCCCGGGGCCCAAGCCCCCTTCTTGAAAATTCTCCCACCCTGCGTGAGCCACAACCCCTGGTGTTTCTTGAACACCCCTTGGCCTAAAGACCAAGGGGTCCCCACACCCCACCTCACGGGCGGTGGCATTCCTTTGTCCAGGCAGAGGCCTCAGCAGCCCCAGTGAGGAATGACCGAGAACTAACCATTTCTGTCGTTGCCCCTGCACCTCTCCTTAGGGCGGGTGGGGACAGAGGCGCTAGAGGCTGAGCCGCCTTCAATTCCCGCTTTCTTCACTTCGCTGCTCTAGCTGTGCTCTCAGGGCCCGGCCGGCCCTGTCAGCGAGGCTGCTCCGTTGTTTCACCAGGCGAGCGCCTCCGACTGCGGGCGGGTCTTCAGCAACAGGAGCTTGACTTCTCGGGATTCCGAGGCCCGAAGGCCCAGGTGGAGGGTCGGCAGGCAGGGTTGGGGGCCTGTTGCTGTGCTGCAGCCCCACCTCCCTCCCGACCAGCCCCCCCAACCCCCCCAGCCCTTCTCACCGCCTGCCCTGCACTGACTTCCTTTCGCTGGCATCCCCGCTCCGACCTCAGACCCCCACCCCCGACACCCTACAGCATCTGGCCTCCAGCTCGGGACCCCCAGCATCTCATCCTGACGAGCCCCTTCAATTCCCGCTTTCTTCACTTCGCTGCTCTAGCTGTGCTCTCAGGGCCCGGCCGGCCCTGTCAGCTACAGTCAGCCTTGAGCCCCGACAACATCACTTGCTGAGACCCCGGGATGGCCCCTGCCGCCGGCACACTCGTGGTCTCCCAGCTTCTCCCAGCCTCCTGGCCCTCCCCATGGCCCCTCCCAGGCTGTGGCCTCCTCCTCCCGGCAGGGCCTGGTGTCCACGTGCTCGCGTGACAGGCAACTGCCCCACGAGCCGGCGCTCGGGACTCTCCACACCTGGCCAACGGCCCGGCTCGCCGTCCTGCGCCCCAGGGGCCCAGCACCCACCTGACACCATTAGTCCAAATAGACCCTGTTTGGTTCCAGAAAGTGCGTGCGCGCGTTGGAGACAGACTCCCCGAGCGGTCACTCTGCCGGCTCTCGCGTGGTGTTCACGGCCCGCTCCGGCTCTCAGGCCGCCTCCGCTCCCCGGGCAGCTCACTGAAGCGCCTCGCTGGCCCCCCGGAAGCCGCCCTGTCGCTCACGCTGCCCCGACACCCGCCCTTGCCAGGGACTGCGCTGGCTCACGCCCGCCAGGGCGGCCAGTTCGCGGGCCCCGCTTACTGCGAACCCTGGGGCTGGCGGGGCTGGTCACCTGCCCTCGCGCTGGCGCCTCCAGGTTCCACGAGCGCGCCTCCGAGCGCAGTGACAACCGGCGTGCCCGGCCCGCGAGGGGGGTGAGGGCACCGCGGGCCGCCCTGGTGGTTTTCCTCAGATGCGGCGGCAGCAGGATGCCGTGCACGGGCGAAGGCCCGTCCCAGACAAATGGAGGCCGCAGAGAAATTTCCGTGGTGACCTTATCTAAATTAGTTAGAAAATAACACTTCAGATTTATGACGAGTGACAATTAAGCCTTTGATGCCGCCTAATTAAACCTGCAGAGACTGATTTCTCCATTATTCCTTTGGTGATCTTTTAAACGCCATCACGTGGAGATGGATGTTGCCCTCAAAAGGGGCTGTTTTATTTACGCTAAATGAGACTCAGACCTGCATGCAAACGGCCCCACTCTGGGGTCTGCCTGGCTCAGCCCAGCGCACATGTCTCAGCAGCCTCAAGTCACGTGTCTCTGCAGTCGGTGCAGAGGGGAGACACGTCCCTCAGGAGGAAATCAAACAAAGCCTCCCTGCCCAAGTCTTCCCGGTAGGGCCCTGAGGTAGGATTTCACACCCCCCATCCTCCACAGTCACACCCCCAGTCACTCCACAGTTACCCCCAGCACCCCCACAGCCACCCCCACCATCACACGCCCAGTCACCCCCACAGTCACACCCCCAGTCAACCCAGTCACCCGCAGTCACACCCCCAGTCACTCCACAGTCACCCCCAGCACCCCCACAGCCACCCCCACCGTCACACGCCCAGTCACCCCACAGTCACACCCCCAGTCACCCCGCATTCACACCTCCAGTCACTCCACACTCACCCCCTGCACCCCCACGGCCACCCCCACAGTCACACCCCCAGTCAACCCAGTCACCCCGCAGTCACACCTCCAGTCACTCCACAGTCACCCCCAGCACCTCCACGGCCACCCCCACCGTCACACACCCGGTCACCCCCACAGTCACACCCAGTCACACTCCCAGTCCCACATCCAGTCACACGCCCAACAGTCAAGCACCCAAGCCACACCCGCGTCACCCCCACAGCCACACGCCCAGCCACGTGCCCAGCCGCAGGCTATACTCAGGCGGCGCCGGCGGTGGGGCGGCCGCGGAGCCAG